TTTAAACTCTTGAGTCAGTTCGTTTGATGTTCTATATTTCCGATAAAATAATTATCCTGCCACACTGGCAACATTCAGATGTCAACACATTTGCCACACTTTTTTTTTTAAATAAATGTTTTATTTTTATTGGGACTCACTACACTACAGCTTCCTGACCAGAGGCATCCCCAAAAAATGAGTGTGAAATGTGCTGCATGTGTCAATTTATAATTAACCACAACCAGAACTTTCTATTTCTATGCCATAGATTTGTAAAAATTAATAACATCAATCTATGCCCTAGTAGAGTAAAAATAATGCAGGGCATCTCTTTTACTTGAGTTTTGTGGTCCTAGATAAGTGGTTCTCTACTTTTTTTTTACCCGGGGACCCCTTTTCCCTTCTTTTTTCTTGGTGGACCCCTTAATAGCTATTTGACGTAAAACAACAATATTTTTCACTAATAAAAATTTTGAGGTTTTAATAATCAAAGAAATATTATATAATTAGGCTTTATTTTTAAATGAAAACTAATTTAATGCAAATAAATTATTCTACAATTATAATAATAATAGTAATAATAATTATAGTAATAATAATTTTTATTGCTCAATTTCTTGTATTACAATATTACGTTTCTTCCATGGTCAAGCCTATGGGGAGCAGAGCTCTTCAGACAATTGAATTCACTGCAGCATTTATTTATGCATGCTGGTTAAAAATTTTAATAAACCAATGTAAGTTAAGTGTGTGATTAGAAAAAAAAAGGCATATTTATTCAATGATATCCCTGTGGTTGATGCTGTTCCACAAGTTTCTTTATATCTGGTTCCATTGATGTTAATAAGTCGAAGATCACCTCTTTTCACAATGTCAAGTCTATTGGGAACTTTTGATAACAGTTGAGAAACATGACTAAATCCCAATTCAACAAGATGTTGGAAAAGCAATAACATAGAGCTGTGCTTTATCCCAGAACAAAGGGTACTTTGTAGCAATATCATTCACTTTCCATATATTGTACTTTCCATCTTGGAATTTTGCACGCATTATTTCATCACTTTGTAATTCAATAAGGGGCTCTTGCAAAGATATGTTTATATTAGCAACATTAACTTGGAAAGGAATTGAAACCCAAGTTGGTGTATCCATCATGAGTAGGTCACTAAACCGAGTTTGCATATCTTCATGCATATTTTCCAAATATTCATCATATAATGCAAGATCTTCATGCATATTTTCCAAATATTCATCATATAATGCAAGATCTTCATCTTGCAAATCGCTGCTAACACAGACTAAACAAGAAAACTTCAAATGCACGACGCTTGATATTATTCTTATAGAACTGTAGTTTCCTCAAAAAAGCAGCAATAGAACTTTTACTAGATATCAGATCAGAATCTTTTCCTTGGAGCTGTTTAAGTGAATTCAATTTTTCAAATATATCTGATAAGTAAAACACATCACATTTATTTGCAAGCAGTTGTTCTCCAAGTTGCGTGTTAGCAAGAAAGGAAACAACAGAATCCCAACGTACAATGAAACGCTGGAGACAATTCCCCTTTTAGCCATATCACCTCTGTATGTAGCAAGCCGCTCTAACTCTTCTCCATTTTGATATTTCATGAAAAAGGCGGTCTCGGGGAGAATTTTATTTAATATTGTTCACGACAGTAAGGGCATATTATAAATAAAGATCAAAGAACGACTGGACCCATCGTTAATAAATTCTTGTATATTGTTTTTTTTTTATGCTATAAGTAATATTTCTTCCAAATCAGATTATTAATGTAACTTTTAAATCTTCTAATTTACTCAAATTACGTGTCATAAATTAAATATATAATTTAATTTTGGAAGATTTTAAAAATCGATAAATTTGTTTTATTTACAAATTTCTTAAAATTGAGAAAATTGCCGCTTTTAAGAAAATTAAAAAAAAATCGAGCAATTATTTGACATTCCAATAATTTCTATCTGAAATACACCAGAATATTTTACTTATTGGAAATAATAAATTTATTTTAAATGGCAGATTTTATCAAAATTTATTTGTTATTTTCGAATTAAGTATGTGCATAAAACGATTCCAGAAATTTTTATTAGATACTTAGTGGAGTGCGGAGCTTAAAAAAATACAACTGCAACAAGCCCATCTAAATTTAATTATTTTTAGCTTTCAATTAAAGCTAAAATTAAATCTTCAAGGATGATTTTTCATTTAAAAAAAATTAATTTTAAATCTTAGGTATCGAAAATTCAGTGGCGGTAAAAGAAATAAAGAAAGAATCATTCATTTTCAAAGTGTATTATTACAGAAAGAGTATTTCCAACCTTAAAAAGTTTTTTTTGTATTACAAGAAGTACCTTCTCAAAGTATTTTGATTTGAAGATTGTATTTAAATCTCTTTAACGGGTAAGAGCCTTTTAGTTTATACTTTATAATTTATATATTTTGATCTGTTAACTAAGGGCCTTAGTCTAAGGCACACGAAAGGAAGCTTGTCCAACATTTTGCAAAAAAAAAAAGAAAAAGAACAGCATAGATAGCATGATGAAAAAACGCCCCAAACTTAATAAAAACAAAGTTTTATCGTGAAAAAGTTTATTTTATTAATAAGAGAAAAAACAAAGTATTTTTTAATTTTTTTTATTCCTTCTCCAGCACGTTTAAAATTTAGGTTGAAAATCTTATTTCTTTTTTTTTGTTAGCGGTCGCCGTAATTTAGCATTAGTTTCCTTTTTAGCGCCTTTGTCAGTTGAAAAACATTAATTTGGAAATTCTTGCAAAAATCAAATAATAGACGGATTTTATTTTAAGAACTTATTAAAAAATGAATGGAATTATTTTAGAAATGTTTGTTTTTTTAGAAAGTCATGGTAAAAATATTTTTTTACATCTTTTATGAAGATACGAAAAACTTTTATGAAAACTTGAAGCCGTGAGTCGTTTTTTTTTTAATTATGCACAAGACTTTGAAGAATATCACCAATTTTTTTTTTTTTTGTAAATCGATGTGTGCCCAAACAACTTTTAGCTCAACAACTGTAAAACCCAATAAAACTAAGACATTATTTAATTAAAAAAGCTTTCAATGGTTTTCTAATAATAATAATAATATATATTAAGGACTTTTTATCTGAAACAAAAATATTTTTCGATGAAAAATGAACTGTTTTTCTTTTTTTCAATTTAAATGTGATAAAAGGTGTTAAATATTTTAAAATTAAGTTTGTTTCCGTGAGTCAGTGGAAATGCTATTATTATTTTATCTACTTTTTACAGATCAAAAATTTGAAAGCTTATTAATAAAATCTGCTATGCATGTATATTTTTACAATAATTTTGTAATATTCCAAGTAACAAAAATCGTCTCCAACAAAAATACAGACACACAATTCTGAAATAATGTCACGTGTGCTAGAGTTGTTTCCCCTGATAGCGATATCTGATCTGCCTGGAGTTTTTTGACTGATCATCGACGCATTTTCAAAATTTTTCACTTCTATGTAAAAATGTATAAAATATAAGTGTCATACTAACATTAAGATTAAAACTAACACACTTAAAAAAAATTGTGCTAATTAACTGAACTTATTTGCATGACTGTCATTAAAACTAAAACAGTTATTAAAAAGAAAGAAATCTTATTTCATAAAAATGAGTTACCTATTTTATTTATGAAATGTTATTTTTTTTTAATTTTTATTGTCTCAGGAAAAAAATTTCATAACTGAGACAATATAAAAAATTAAAATTTTTTTAAAAAAAAAATACCATAACAAGTAGGTTACTCTTTTTTGTTTGTTATAAAATTTAAATTGTAAATGTATTATTTCGTATTTTAAATGTTATTTTTATTCCAGAATTCTTCAAACGTAAGGTAAAAAAAAAAAAATAATTTTGTCACTTCTATCATAACATCCGATAAATTATCCTGGCGTAAGTTATCGATACCTTGACATCAATTCACACCTCCCAAAACCAATCACCACGGTTGGGCATGTCTCTCTTAAAAAATTTTAGCGAAATTTTGAACAAGCCCAATTGTGCAAGCCTTTTCTATAAAAAAATGTATTTTGTTATATTGTTTTAGTTTTAATGAATGTCTTGTCATGTAGTTTCTGTTTGCTCCTTTCAAATTTCACTTAGTAGTTTCAAATCTTGTTTGTTTTTGTATGCGTCTTTTTTTAATAAGGGAAGCGATGTTCTCTTTTCTTCCACTCTACCAGGGAAAATCCTTTTTAAAAGCTCACTTTGGAGAAATTATTTTAAAAATTACACAAAAAAAAATAAAACTTGAATTTTTAAAACTACAAGAACAAGTATTTGAGAAATGAATGTTTGTCGGTATTCACCGATTCGGCATTTATTTTTTTTTTTACTTAAGAAAAACAAGGAAGAAAGTTGTTGATTTCGTTTACTTATCCGAGGGTTATTTAAAAACAAATACTCGTAAACTTTTTTTATCAAGTTGAACATTGATTCAAATTCAAAAGTCTGAAAAAGTACGTTTTTCAAAATAAGTTATTTTATTTTTATACTAGTTTTTTTTTTCTCTTGTTAAAACTTTGGTCAATCATTGTGAAAGAATTTTAAAAATCCAATGAAGAATGCTTACATTTGGTTATAATTTAAAAAAGAAAAAAAAAACTCAAGAGAAAAAAATGTTTTTAACTTATTGCCGGTGGCATTTTCTTTACTTTTTTTTTTTTATATTATTTCTGAAGAAGTGGGGGGGGGGGATTTTTACCTTTTCCCATAAAAATGTGAATTATCTATTGCTCTTTTGGTTTTATTCCAGGGAAGTCTAATCTCGAACAGCTTAATTTTTTACCTTTATTATTTTTGTAAAGAAATAAAAATTTTGTTTTTAAACCAAAATGAAGCAGATATATTTCTCATTTTTATTTTTTTTATACATTCACATGAAATGTGAAATATGGGGAAAAACTGCAAGAGGGTAGTTTGTGTAAAAGTTTAGTTTCAGGAGTTTGTGCTCCGTTTTACATACCGTTGAACAGCATTCACGGAACCTTCAATAACTTTACCACCATTTTCTCCTGGTTCATATAAAACGCCAGTAACATCGAGCAAAATACCTTTGACTCCTTGCCACCAAAATGTCTCGCATTGAGCCATAGTAACTAATATCCGGTTCTAGACAGAAAACCTGCGAAAATAGAGAAATATTTATTTCCCTTGAACTTTGCAAAACGTGTACAGTAAGTAAAAATAAGAATTAAAAATAACACGGCATTCAGGCTGCATTTATTTTTTTCATTTCTTTAAGAAATATTTTAAAATTCCAGTATTGGCATTGCACTGAACTTTACTATTTCTGAGCAAAGTTATCTTATGTTTGTTTACTCACAGTACACACGGTATTGAGCTGATTACTGTTTCAGTTTAACTGTCGCGGTCTGACTAAAAACGTGTTTTTTTGTTGTTTTTTTTTTTTAACAAAAATTTTAAGTAAAATATCGGTTTGGTCACTTCTCGAAAACTGAAAACAAAAAAATTTAAAAGTCTATTAAAAATCCAATATTTGTTCTAAAGATGGTAAATTTACTTGTTAACGCCCAAACACCTGCGCACTAAATCTTTTTAAAAAAATTCCCAAATCGTCATAATTCCGTGTACTTAAAACTAAATGTTCATGCTGAACTCGTATTAACAATTAAATTATGAAGAAACCTACCGTTTTTGGAGTTATCGACAAGAAAAAAATCGAACTTCTTGTTACGTTCGTCCACCATTACTGCCATACTTTAGTGCCGAGTACATCCAGTGGCGCAAGCTTAAATTTTGTCCGATTTACTTTCTTTACATAAAGTAAGTTTCCGAAATCAATACGCACTACCGTAAAAGCAATGTAATTTTTTTTTTTTTTTTTTTTTTTTTTGGATAAGTGTAGTTTAACTTAAAATTAAAACAAACAAAAATTACAATGTAAAGAAAAGGCTAGAAAGGAATTTTTTTTTTTTTTTTGAAAATAAAACAAAATTGACAAATTAAAAATTAACCGTAAAGCAGTGCATTTTTTTTTTTTTTTTTTTTTTTTTTTTTTGATAAGTGTAGAGGAGACACGGTTGTATTTGTTTTGTCTAGTCGGGACCGAGTAAGACCAGAAAAGACTCTAGTCTTCGGACTATATTGGTCTGAAAGAGACATAAGGAGGAAAAAGAAACAAAACACAGGTAAGTCACTTTTTGGTTTCCTTTGTTCGCTCATTGCACTTGGATCTGCCAGTAATATTGTTGATCTTGTTTTGACTTTGTCGAGTTTGCACGCAGTTGAAGCGCCACCACCGTGTCAAGTATTTTTCTTTTCGTTCTGTCGTTGGTCTCTCTTCTCGTGAGAAAATGGTAGTTGACAAGACGCTAGGATGAGAGTAGCAGGATCAGACGCAACAGATGAACTTGGGGACGTGGGAGTCCCCGAAATATCGATGGGTTTCAGGAGGCTGATAGGTAGCATGAAGCTACCTACTTATAAAGGAAACCCTGCGGACCTGCACGAATAGATTCTGTCCATTCAGAAGAAGCAGGTGATCTATGGCCTCTCGGACGAAGAAATGGTGCTCCTAGCTTACGACGACGCAGCGGGGCAGGTGTCCAGGTTCATAGGGAGTGGTACAAAGAAAACCCGGCCCTTATATGGACCAAGCTTAAATCCGCCCTGGTGTGGCAATACGGCAGTCAGGAAATTATTCCGGCAACAGCAACAAAAAGGAGAGACTAATGAGGAATTGGAGGAAAGAATCGCGGGGCTAGCGAACGACTCTGGGATAGAATAAGAGGAACCCTCGAGGGGCCAAGGTATTGATGAAAAAGAAGGACCGGGAGCGGATCCAAATAGTTCGGAAAGAAGAGGTGGAAGAGGACTGGAAGGCTGAGGCAGTTCCCAATAGAAGAGCCTGGGATCTGCGTTATGGATTTGACAAGCCCACACCGGGACGATATGGCCTGGTGTGCTGGAATTGCAAGTATGGTGGGCATCGGGCCGGCGACTGTCCGACAAACTATGGAGGCGATCCAAGGTCTTTGGGGCCGGACTGCGCGACTTGTGGGCGAGTTCAGGCACAAGGCTCGGTGGTGTATCGGAAACACCGATATACGCCGTGAAAAAGTAAGAGGCAGGGTGGCCCCAGCGCAAGTAAGACCTCTGAGATGCTGGACATGTGGTGTGGGCGGGCACTTTTCGGACAGTTGTAAGGAGCGACGGTGTTGGCGCTGTGGAGGAGCGGGTCACCTGAGACGAAACTGTCCTCGTGAGAGAAATATGGACCACACCGAACGGAACAACCCTAACTCGAATGGAGGGGAGAAATGGGTTGCTTGTCCGAGAAAAGAAGGTCATCCGAGGCAGAAATTGGAGCCCCTAGAAAAAGTTGAACTCCTGTCACCGACCCCGATGTCTCGGTTGTCGAGAAAGCGGGATGAAGGGAGAAAACATACAGGTATACCGTTTGCTGAAGGAAGGGCCAGATTTCACCTGTAATGTGTTGCTGGGAGACAAGAAGGTGAAGGCCCTTTTCGATACTGGAGATTCAGTGTCACTGGTTAGCTCCAAGGTGTTTAGACAGTTGGGACTGAAAACGAAGCTTAGTCCCGTCGATCTACTAAGAAGTCAGGCTGATAGTAGCAGGATGAGGATAGAGGGTATGACATGTCTACCTTTTCAGTTGGCAAGAACCTGAGCTGAACTTAAGGTTTATGTGGCACCTGACTTGTGTGGTGAGCTAATTTGGGGGATTGACTGGCTTTGGTAGAATAATTCGTTTTCACCCCGCAACATTGGACGGGGTAGGGATACTGTTGGGAGAGGATAATTGTGAACAATTGCCAATGGTGGCCCAGACAGATATAAAGCTTCCCCCTTGGACTACTGTATCTGGGAAGGGCAAGATTATAACAGAAGGAGTGCTGAACAGTGACCTGTACCAAGTGGACCCTACTGATAGGTATGATAATAGTGAAGGGGAAATAACCGTGTGTGATTCGTTGCTGAAGAGTTCGGGGACCGTTCCCTTACTGTTAACCAATACTGCCAATAAAACTATTAAAATAAAGCAGGTAGAGGAGCTGATACGGGCTTGCCCAGTAAGAGAAGTCGAACAGGTGAGAGTATGGAATGAGAATAGGCCTGGGAATAAGACAGGTAGCGATGAAATAAGGGATGAAGATATAACAGCGTTATTGGAGGAAATTGAGGGGGTTGCTGAACGGTAATCGGGAGTAATAGCCATTACGGATAAAGGAACTGGGACAGACGGAGGCAGTTGAAATGAAGATAGACACAGGTAATCACCCACCTATTAAGACCGTATAGGACCCACATCCACAAAAGAAAATTAGTAGAGGACACAGTGAATGAAATGATGGAATCAGGGATAATCGAAAGATCCAAATCTCCCTGGAGTTTTCCAATAGTGATTGTTGAAAAGAAGGATGGAGGGCATAGGTTTTGTACCGATTTTCGTCAATTAAATGCCATTACGAAACCGCTGCCATGCTCCTCCCCTTGATTGATGATATTCTAGCTCTCAGGACAGTCTAAATGTTTTTCCACCTTGGATTTGAGTTCGGGATATTCGCAGGTAGCACTAAGCAAAAAAGAAAATCAACGGAGGAGCATTTCGAACACCTGCAGAAGATGTTCGATTGGTTAAGAGAACGTGGATTAAAGTTAAACTTATCAAAGTGTCAGTTTATGAAAGAAGAAACAAAGTACTTCGGGTTTATCATAAACAAAGAAGGAATAAAAACGGATTTAGACAAAGTAAAGGTTATAAGAGCCATGTCCACGCCGAAGATCATAAGAGAGATTAGGGGATTTATTGGAGCCATCGGATATTATCGGAGGTTCATGCCAGCATTTAGTCGGCTAGGAGGCCCTCTAATAGCTCTAAGAAGTATGTTAGGTTGAAGTGGAACGGGGATTGTCAGCGTGCATTCGAGGCTCTAAAGGACAAGCTTACAGCCTACCCAGACCTGAGTAAGCCCATGGTGCTGTACACCAATGCTAGCGATGTGCATCGGACACAACTATGTCCCGATAAGGATGGACCAGTACCGGTTATGCTTGAGGAAGTGCCGATCTATTTTCTGCCTCATCGGCACTCCGAGACTCAGCAAAGGTGGCCAGTAATAGAAAAAGAGGCGTTCGCAATTCTGTATGCTGTGCAGAAATTAAATTATTATTTGCTGTGTTTACCATTAAAACAGACCACAAACCCCTCAAATATTTGTTAGAGGCAGAGTGGACGAATAAGAAGATACAACAGTGGGCATTGAAGTTAAGTGGGTATAACTGCAGAATAGAATATTTGGCAGGGAAGGATAATACCTGTGCTGACTTGTTATCGAGGATTCCGAGGCAATTAGAGACCGATAAAGCATTCCAAATTAACATGATCAATTCACAGGCGTTGGAGGAGAGACTTGGTTGGGAAGATCAGGAAACGAGTGAAACGGAGATTGTTTCCGACCCCCACTGAAGAGATATTATTAGGCAAAACCAAGAGGATAGAGAGATAATAACTATCAGGTCCAGGGTGGAGGTAGGGTGTACCTCCAAATATATGGTGCATGATGGAGTGTTGTATTACCTTTCAGGAAGAGGTGAGGGAGTAAGTTGAAAAAAGGTGATACCTGAGAAGTTGAGAGCTGAAATTCTAGACCAGTGCTATAGGAGGTTAGGACACCTGGGAATTGATAAGACGTATGGATTAATAATGAGAAATTACTACTGGCCTAAGTTGTTTAATGATGTTGTGAACCATGTAAAAAAATGTGTAACATGACAAGTACAGAGTCGAAGGAGTAGGGTTGCCCCAGTATTAGAAACGGATGTTCCGAATTATCCATTTCAGAAAGTAAGCACGAGCCCTATGGCGAAACACATAGAGGTAATCTTTACATAGTGAGTTTTGTGGACTGGCTGACGAATTGGCCTGAGGCATTTGCCATACCAGATAAGAAGGCACGAACGGTGTCAGATATAATACTGAACGAATTATTCCCTAGGTATGGGGCCCCCGAACAGTTGGTTACCGATAATGAATCGGAGAATGTGAATCAGATTATGAGAGAGACGTTGGGAGAATTAAACATACAGCACATAAACACCTCTCCATATCACGCCCAAAGTAACGCTAAGGTAGACAGATTTCATAAGACCCTCGCTGATGTGTTAGCTAAAGTAACAGATCTACCACTTTCGCACCGGCCCCTCAACCTCCGGCGTCTTACTCTCGGGGTTGAGGTGTCTACTCGGTCCTAACCGAACTTAAGGGAGTGCCCATAGGTCCCCTGAGCATCCGTAGATTATTCGACCGGTCCGCTGGTTTAATCCTGCTTCCTGCCCACGTTGTGATTCGTTTGATCCAGAAAGCAGAAATTATGTCTGTCCATTCAGGGTCGACTGATGATGTAGACACGGCTGGGGAGTCTACGCTAAGAAATTTAGAATGCAGCAAAAAAAAAAAAGTTAATATCTGCAGAAAGCCGGACAAACATCGATTCAATGGTTGAATTGGTAATTTCTTTTATATAGCAGAAAAGAATAGTAGAGAAGAGAAACGGGTTACAGAAAAGAAAAGTAAAAAAGAAAACAAAAACTCATACACTGGATTCTAGACAGACAGAGAGAGAGAGAGAGAGAGAGAGAGAGAAAGTATATGCGATTATCTTGTTAAATCGTCTCAGAACGATATATGACTCTTGTGATGGAGGGATTTCTGTGCTGGGCTAGTTATAGTGGCGTTCCTCCTCCCAACGCTCGCCCGGGCCAATTCTCTCTTCAAGAATTTTTCTACCGCCTTAATTTTTCAGCATAACTACGAGTTTATATAGATAAACCCGGCTGGTTATAACTGACCCTCGGCCCTACTACTTCGCACGCGATTATCACGGGGTTCTGACTGCTTCAACCAAAATCATGTGAATTCCAAAGTGCCTTCTAGCTTACTCGGCTCTATTTCAATTTTTAATTATAAAAATTATTTTGACTATTTCCATTGTCTCCTGATGACCCAGATTCAATGGGCACAGCTTCTGTCCTAGATCAGATTTCCCCATCCGTAAAAAAGAATGCTCTGATTTAATTTCCTTATTCAAATCTACTCCAATTTCACTAAAAAAAAAATATACGTGTGTGTTTCCCAGACTCTCTCTGTCTGTCACATTTCCTCCTCCTACCCATCTGTCATTTACTAGTAAATGACACATGAGCTTTCATATCAACAAAATATGAGAAAACCCAGTCCAACATGCTACTAGGGGCTACTTCGACGGTTCTTTCCTTTTTTGTTTTTTCTTTTTGAAGTTCGTAACACTCCTTACCAATTATTTCAGTCTCATTACTAAAAATAAAATAAAAAAATTCGATTTATTTCGTAAATCTGTCCCTCCGATTTTGTCTCGCCTTCACAACAGGCTTTGTCGAATCTTTTGTTGGTTCAGATCCTTCCACGGCAATCGTGGACTCTTCTTCAATATCAGTTAGGAGTCCCAATGCACTCAGGTCGGACCTATCTTGGTAAAGTGCACTAACTGGAATCCCTCCTTCACCCATGCACTCCCGTGCCAGTTTATTCTGCCCGGTCGACAACACCGCACGCCTCTTCAACCACCACCAAACCAGCAAGCCCACGACTATCATTAGTATAATTCTCACAACGGTCGGCCAGGTTATTATAGCAACCAAATTCTCTCTCCAGCCCGAATTCGGCGTACCTATCCTATCTAACTCTGACTTCAACCGTCCAAGATCAATCTTATCGATTGGCTTTAACAACGCCGGTATCTTTTCTAGCGACATCGTAAGAATCTCTCTTACAATGGGTTCCCACAATCCCGTCCATATGGTATTTGTTCCTACCAGCTCTAACAAAGCCTCATTCTCTTCAAACTTCTCTTCTGCTTGGTAGTAGGGCGGTAAAGAGATATATGGATCATGAGCTCCACAACCAATGGGTAGCTCTACAAAAATCAAAATCTTATCGTAGTGGCGGGCTTCCCTTCACGCACCTTAGATAATTCGATCTCTTTTTGTGTGGCCACCGCCCAAATTCCGTCAGAGACACTGGTTACTTTAGGTAACATTACACTAGTCAACACCTCTACCTGACAATGATCTCTAATTCCCTTCTTATTTTTCTTAAATAAATCTAGTACACACAGATTGTGACTACCTGTCACGTAAATTGGAGTTACAGACCCACAGGTAACTAAGACATCATTCTTGCATTTTTCTGCTCCTCCCTTTGTTAATAGCATAAACTCTGTCCTGGCTAGATTTAGGGCAACAGATTCTGTCTCTCCCTTGTACCTAGCCACCGCTCCTATCTTCGGCTTTTGTATTGGATAGGGAAGGGGAAGATTCATCACCTGATGAATTTCAAAGGTAACTATCTCTGTCCAGTAATGGAACGGGCACTAGCACTAGCAATTTGTCATCTTCCAATAAGGTAGTACATCCCAAGGCACTATAGTACCTCCATAACTGCTGGGTGAGGTCAACAGATAATCTAAGATGATGGAGTAGTTTGGTTTGTATCTCCAGTAGTACTTCCCTTAATTGTTCTGGGGTTATTATACTCAGAGACAGGTGTCCCAGCGACAGCATGTCTAATTGTGCTCTCACATGCTCTAACAACACCGTTAAAGAGTGACTTATTTGATGTACCTTACTCATTATAGCTAATAATTGAAAATACCTTTGCAAAACCCCCTCTAATTTCTGTAATGCGGTTGTTACAGACGTGGTTACATTTATCACTTCTTTTCTAAAAACGTGTAGATGAGAAATCAGCCAATTAATACTCCCTCTATTCCAGCCAATTCCAGCCTAGTAACATAGATACGCTCTCTCTAACCGACTGAGCCATTGCTTGTTGTCTGTTCTACCACCTTTAATTTCCTCTTAATTACTCTCACTTTGCCTTCGAAGACTGTACCAAACAACACGCTTAATGCCTTTCCCATTATAGGTAATATTGCCCTGTTTTGCCTGGTCCGTAATAACTTTATTCCTTTCAAATAGTAACTCATATACTTCCATTGTCTCTCAAGTACTAGGGATTCTTGAGCTAAGGGGTATAATATACGGTGGAATTCCGGGGTCTGTAAATAGTCTCCGGTGACTTGTGTCCTGGCTGTATCTAGTTTGTCCACTTCAGTCTTCAACTGACCCAGTAAATTCTCATACGGTGGCAGATCTATCACCAAAGTTATCAACCACTTTGATCTAGTTATAATCACTTCGCTAGTCTTCTTAAATACAGTATTCTCACTGTGTTCCCAGGTATTAGCTCCCACAACTAGCATCGTCAGTACCACGAGCCTCCTCTCGTCCATGTCTGCAAAGAGATGAAGAGAATAATTCGTCTTACTCAATCATTCTCTTATTGTTTTTATCGGGTGGTTACATATTAGAGCGATACCTCAAGCACCGACCCATACCACCACCAGCACCGTGCATGCATGGAATTTCATCCTCTTCTTCCCATTCACTCAGTTCTTCTTCTTCCCTCAGGTTAGGCTCAATCCCTGCTTCCACAGAATGTCCCGCTGGGATCCGACTTACCTCCCTCAGCCTTCGAAGGGTAGTTGGGCTAATTTCAATCTCCTTACTCCCTTCATTTTCACTCTCAGTCTCTAACCCTTCGGGTTCTACCAACGTAGATTTCCTCAGCCTTTTCTGTTGATTTTTTGTTTCGGTTCCTTTCCATTCTCCTATTTCAGCTAGCTTTATATCATTCGCATGCACTCTCTTTACCTGTCTGGTCAATTGGTCCCAGATCACAAAGGAAACCGGACCCGTCTTCTCCACGATCCTATAGTATGGACTCCATCTCTGGTCCACTTTACCTTCTCTCGGGTGTATTTTATAATACACTGGATCACGCCCCGATGCACTTATCGCTAACATCGGTGTACAGCACGATGGGCTTACTCAGGTCTGGGTAGGCCAACAGAGGTACAGCTGTCAGCTGGTCCTTTAGAGCCTCGAATGCACGCTGACAATTCTCGGTCCACTTAAACATAGCATGCTTCTTAGAGCTATTAGAGGGCCTCCTAGCCGACTAAATGCTGGCATGAACCTCCGATAATATCCGATGGCTCCAATAAATTCCCTAATCTCTCTTACGGTCTTCGGTGCAGGCATTGCTTTTATAACCTCTACTTTGTCTAAATCCGTTTTTATTCCTTCTTTGTTTATGATAAACCCTAAGTACTTTGTTTCTTCTTTCATAAACTGACACTTTGATAATTTTAACTTTAATCCACGTTCTGAACCAATCGAACACGTTCTGCAGATGTTCAAAATGCTACTCCGGTGATTTTGAAAACACCATGATGTCATCTAGATACGCCATGGCAAATGCCTCAGTGCCATTAAATACGATGGACATCAACTGACTAAATACACCCGGGGCATTTGCTAACCCAAACGGCATAACCCATTTGGCAGGTAAAAGCGGTCTTTTCCTGATCCTTTTTGGTAAGTGCTACCTGCGAATATCCCGAACTCAAATCCAAGGTGGAAAAACATTTAGACTGTCCTGAGAGCTAGAATATCATCAATCAAGGGGAGGAGCATGGCAGCGGTTTCGTAATGGCATTTAATTGACGAAAATCGGTACAAAACCTATGCCCTCCATCCTTCTTTTCAACAATCACTATTGGAAAACTCCAGGGAGATTTGGATCTTTCGATTATCCCTGATTCCATCATTTCATTCACTGCGTCCTCTACTAATTTTCTTTTGTGGATGTGGGTCCTATACGGTCTTAATAGGTGGGTGATTACCTGTGTCTATCTTCATTTCAACTGCCTCCGTCTGTCCCAGTTCCTTTATCCGTAATGGCTATTACTCCCGATTAACCCCCTCAATTTCCTCCAATAACGCTGTTATATCTTCATCCCTTATTTCATCGCTACCTGTCTTATTCCCAGGCCTATTCTCATTCCATACTCTCACCTGTTCGACTTCTCTTACTGGGCAAGCCCCGTATCAGCTCCTCTACCTGCTTTATTTTAATAGTTTTATTGGCAGTATTGGTTAACAGTAAGGGGAACGGTCCCCGAACTCTTCAGCAACGAATCACACACGGTTATTTCCCCTTCACTATTATCATACCTATCAGTAGGGTCCACTTGGTACAGGTCACTGTTCAGCACTCCTTCTGTTATAATCTTGCCCTTCCCAGATACAGTAGTCCAAGGGGGAAGCTTTATATCTGTCTGGGCCACCATTGGCAATTGTTCACAATTATCCTCTCCCAACAGTATCCCTACCCCGTCCGTTGCGGGGTGAAAACGGATCTGTGCCTTATTCTACCAAAGCCAGTCAATCCCCCAAATTAGCTCACCACACAAGTCAGGTGCCACATAAACCTTAAGTTCAGCTCAGGTTCTTGCCAACTGGAAAGGTAGACATGTCATACCCTCTATCCTCGTTATGCTACTATCAGACTGACTTATTAGTAGATCGACGGGACTAAGCTTCGTTTTCAGTCCCAACTGTCTAAACACCTTGGAGCTAACCAGTGACACTGAATCTCCAGTATCGACACGGGCCTTCACCTTCTTGTCTCCCAACAACACATTACAGGTGAAGTCTGGCCTTTCCTTCAGCAAACGGTATAACTGTGTCTTATTCCTTCCGGTATGTTCTCTCCCTTTCTCGACAACCGAGACGTGGGGATCGGTGACAGGAGTTCACCTGTTTCTAGGGGCTCCAATTTCCACCTAGGAGCCCTCCAGTGTGGTGTAGAGCTCGGATGAACCTCTTTTCTCGGACTAGCAACCCATTTCTCCCCTCCATTCAAGTTAGTCCATCTTTCTCTCACGAGGACAGTTTCGTCTCAGGTGACCCGCTCCTCCACAGCGCCAACACCTTCGTTCCTTACAACTGGCCAAAAAGTGCCCGACCACACCACATGTCAAACATCTCAGAGGTCTTACTTGCACCAGCGTATTAAATCGCTCTATCCCCAGTTTACGGTCTCCCTCTGCCATACACCACCGAGCCTTGTGCCCGAACTCGCCACAAGTCGTGCAGTCCGGCCCCAAAGACCTTGGATCGCCCCCATAGTTTGTCGGACAGTCGCCGGTCCGATGCCCACCATACTTGCAATTCCAGCACACCAGGCCATATCGTCCCGGTGTGGGCTTGTGAAATCCATAACGCAGATCCCAGGCTCTTCTATTGGGAACTGTCTCAGCCTTCCAGTCCTCTTCCCCTCTTCTTTCCGAACTATTTGGATCCGCTCCCGTCCTTCTTTTTCATCAATACCTTGGCCCCTCGAGGGTTCCTCTTATTCTATCCCAGAGTCGTTCGCTGGTCCGAGGCGCCTCTATGGCTGCAGCCAGGCTGACCGGTCCCCGCTTCAGAACATCGCCCCTCAGGTCCCTGTCACTCAGCACGTCCACATACATATCTGCCAACAAGGCCTGAATAGGATCCCTGTCTCGTCGTCAACTCCGGAAAAGCTAACGCCGCTAGCTCCGCGATTCTTTCTCCCAGTTCTTCTTCTTGCTGTAGCCGGAATAATTTCCTGACTGCCGTATTGCCGCACCAGAGCGGATTTAAGTTGGTCCATGTAAGGGCCGGGTTTTCTTTGTACCACGCCCTATGAACCTGGATACCCGCGTCGTCGTAAGCTAGGAGCACCATTTCTTCGTCCGAGAGGCCATAGATCACCTGCTTCTTCTGAATGGACAGAATCTATTCGTGCAGGTCCTCGGGGTTTCCTTTATAAGTAGATAGCTTCATGCTACCTATCAGCCTCCTGAAACCCATCGATATTTCGGGGACTCCCACGTCCCCAAGGTCATCTGTGGCGTCTGATCCTGCTACTCTCATCCTAGCGTCTTGTCAACTACCATTTTCTCACGAGAAGAGAGACCAACGACAGAACGAAAAGAAAAATACTTGACACGATGGTGGCGCTTCTGTGTTGGAATGTGTCACGAAAAAAAATGATTTCGTCTCTTTCTCTCCTGCTGTCGTAGCGACGGACGCAATCTCCACTTCTGAGACTGAAAAACTACCCTCCTTCTCATTCCAACCCTTTACATAGAGCTTGGTAACTCACCTATGCAAAACACCAGCAAGCCAGCTACCAATCACAGTTCCCGCGCCTTCCCACCTCCACTCGCTTTGGGGGTTTCAAGTTGACCGACCAACTAATTACCCCCCCCCCGATCTTAAGATCACAAAGCTTCTCAGTTCGAGAGATGTTCGCGTCTGTCTGGTGACCGCTTCCGCATATATATAACTTGCACGCTTGATATATCGGGATAGCCACACATGCGCGAACTCGTTTGCTCCGAGGTGGCAGATTTCCAAATTCATCCCGTGTCTCGCTGTCATGATCGCAGAGCGTGCAACTCGTGGCAGGCCTCTTCTGCCGTGCACTCCTTCTGAGCGGGATGACAGGGTCCTCATCCTCGGATGAACTCTTATCCGTTGAGCTACCATCCGCCTCCGGACAGCTGGCCGCAGGTAGAGTACTGATGTTTGAGGTAAAACTCAGTTGATCCGACTTTAAATACACCACTCGCGCACCATCAGAGTCACTTTCATCATCTGATGTCGGTTTTAACCCTAAAACTGGCCGCAAGTCTTTAACATGACGAGGCGCGCCATCAACCCGCACTGACTGCGGGCTGATAATCTCGGTAACATGCCCCATTCTAAGCTTGTCCGTACACTTGCTGTGCGGGTCTTAACCCACACTACGTCACCAATTCTGTATTTAGCTTGCGCGTCTCTCGGAGCCATTGCGATGTCAATGCCTCGCAGCCGTAAGTGATAGGCGTGCACCATGTGAGCCGGTGCTGTTGTAGGCGAAACACCGTCTTTAGGCGTCGCATTATACCAATAGACTGCTTCGGGGATCGAACATCGCTTCCTGGCTGCAATCACTTTTATAGACTGGTGGCTCCTTTCTACTATGCCGTTTCCCGCCGGCACGTAGGCGCACCGGAACCGAAGCCGCACACCCCACTTCTTTAAGAACTGCGAGAATTGCTCTGAAGAAAACGCCGCACCATTATCTGTCAGTATTTCTACAGGTGGCCCCCGGTCGTAAAAGATGGACTCCAATTGACGTATTATGTCCTGCAGTGTCCTGCCGGCGCAGTAGTCGCCAAATGGCAAAGCGAGAGGGTCCACAGTCAATAATAGTCAAATAGTGCTGGCTGCCAACATGCGTAACATCTATCCTCAGCCTGTTCCAAACATGGGTAGTACTCAAATTTCCTTTTTGTCATTGCACCGGTGCCGGGTCAATTGACTGGCACGCCTTGCACCTCTGCACTACTGTCCTAACATCCGTCTTTTTGACTGATGGGTCGACCATCTTCGAGAAGTAGAGCGTCCGTTTAATCCCAGGATGCCCACACTGTTCATGTATGCTCATGATCCGCTCGAGGTCCATGCTGAGCGCAGAAGCCGTACACGGCAGCTTCAGATGTTCAGACTCTTTCCGAGCAGCAGCCAACCAACGTTGCGGAACGCGAGTCAATGCATCTGCTCTGTTGACTGCCGATATAACTAACAGACAGGTTGTACTTTTTGATAGTTTCAATCAGTGTGGTGGGCCGCCTTCGTATCAACATCTCGCTCGATGCCTTGGTGGTCAGTCGCGCTCTTCCGCTAAGTGCATCTGATATCCAACGCTGAGTGTATGCTGAGTCCGTGATGATGTGTAGACTGTTGCTTGCCATTGGAGAGCCAGGTTAACCCCTTTCAGACTGACGTCTAGTTCAGCCAGGTTTATGTGTCGTGCATCATTTTCAGGTCGTAACCAGCAGGCGTCTTCTATGTTATCCTCAAGTGCGACACCCATGGCCAACGAGCTGGCATCCACCCAAACGGTGAGCTCGTTCCCCTTAACGCACCAGTCACCTCGCACGGGATCGTCTTGCATCACTCTCTCCATAGTTTCAGTTATCATGCATCTTAGGGTAACATCGTGCACCTCATCATCCCATCCTGACGAAACAGAAGTTACGCGGCGCTTTATGGCTGCTGCCGCCACTCTGAGCCAACCGCATACGGGAAAATGGCCTACCAGTTTCCCACACATGGAGAAGGTACTACGACGAGGGATCACTGGCGGGACTTTCCGGAGGTCACTACCTCGCCTCCAGCGAAGTTTTTCTCCATCACTACTGACGTGTCGTCCAAGTACATTCGACTCATCCTGTAGCGGCTCTGGGGCCTTGCATACCAAGCCAAAGCGCTCCAGATGTTCCTTAACCCTCGTTGAAGAGGCCACGTCTTCATTGACGTAAACATCATCAATGTAGGATGACGTTGCCCTTCGAATTTCCTCATCCTGCGACATGACCACATTCATAATCGCTGACATGATTTTTGAAGCCACATTAAGACCAAATCCCAATAGAGTGAGGCAATATCTCTGTCCTTTTACCATGACAGTCTGAAAGGGCCAGAGTGATCGGTGGACTCGGACTTGGAGGTAGGCCCTTCTTAAATCGAGGGTGGCCACATTGCTCCCTTGCTGTCACCATTCCCGCAATTTCTAGGCACAAATGTCCGCGTTGGCCGTATATGCATCTACAAAGGCATTCAATTCCCTGTAGTCCATGACCGGTCTCACTTTCCCCTTATTCTCTTGCACTATTGCCATCAATGGAATCAGTCCTCGAGGTGGCCCTAACTCCTCCTCGGGGTACGGCGCAAGCCAGCCATTTGCTATCCAAAGCTGCAATTCATTTTCGTATTCGCTCCTGATATGCTCTGAAACCGGGTACTCTGCTATTTTATTTTTCAGTGGCGTGGGCGTTCGTCCACCCGCCCACTTCCACATTGCGGTCCATACGCGCCTGCGTTGGTCGAAAGTTGCACTGAAGCCAGGTTCGTTAATCCTCAAGGCAGCACAGATGGGCGGATCAGAAAACTCGACTTCGCCCGTCTCTGTGATGCGTACGCCACCCAGCTCCTTAATAATGTCCATCCCAAGGAGCAGATCAAAACCGTTCGTGAGTGACCGAGAGCAGCCCGAATCTACTAAAGCGGTACGCGTTATTCCATTGATGCACACCTTAATCACAGGGAGCGCCTCTTTCATAATCGGTCGCATTTCCCATTCTATTTCCCGGACACTTAGAGGCAATGTGACCTACTTTATGACATTGGAAACATCGTAGATCGAAACGTGCCTTTCGCGTTGACCCGCTGCGCATTGCTTTGCGTTGATAGCGGCAGTCTTTGGCAAAATGATTCGGCCCAGAGCACCGATAGCAGGTGACATCGCGACGGATGGCTGGGGTCGGACCTTCTTTGACTTCAATTGGTTGAACAACTGCGGCCACTGGTTCATCAGCCTCTTTTTCGTTGATCATGATAGCACGGGCTCTGGTCAACAATTGATTAAGCGTCATGTCTTCCATTCTGCTTAACATGGCTAGGCAATCCAGACACGAAGGCACAGGTCATCCATTCTTCAGGAAGCGGTGCGATCGGTACGGCGAGCTTCTTTAATTCTGCCAAATATACGTCTACTGTCTCGCCAGGTCGTAAACGCCGCGCCTGGAGTTGGTCATAGGCCACGAACCGGTCAGTTCCAAACGCGGTTAGTAGAGCGTGCTTTATTTGCTCAACTGCCTGTACACAGCAAGGGCGTCGCCTTTCAAGCGCAGTAGAAGAATCCGTTCAATCTTCGTGATCTCGCATAATTCGCAGACCAGTTCCATCTTTTCGATCCATTCAACCACAGACTGTCCAATCGTATCACCACTGAATTCGAAGATCAGTTTTATGTCGAACGGTCTTTCCGCCATCTTGCTGGAGACAAAGTAAATGCCGAAATAGCTTGTTTTGGGTATGTGTCACGAAAAAAAATGATTTCGTCTCTTTCTCTCCTGCTGTTGTAGCGACGGACGCAGTCTCCACTTCTGAGACTGAAAAACTACCCTCCTTCTCATTCCAGCCCTTTACATAGAGCTTGGTAACTCACCTATGCAAAACACCAGCAAGCCAGCTACCAATCACAGTTCCCGCGCCTGCCCACCTCCACTCGCGTTGGGGGTTTCAAGTTGACCGACCAACTCATTACAGCTTCAACTGCGTGCAAACTCGACAAAGTCAAAACAAGATCAACAATATTACTGGCAGATCTAAGTGCAATGAGCGAACAAAGGAAACCAAAAAGTGACATCTGTGTTTTGTTTCTTTTTCATCCTTCTTTTGCTTCCTTCTCTTTTCCTCCTTATGTCTCTTTTAGACCAATATAGTCCGAAGAATAGAGTCCCTTTTGGTCTTACTCGGTCCCGACTGGACAAAACAAATGCAACCTTCTCTCCTCTTTCAGACGGTCGTGGTAATTCCCACGGGTCTATCCTGGTCAACACGGCACCAGTCTAACGCTTTTGCCCCGGCCCCTCAACCTCCAGCGTCTTACTCGCGGAGTTGAGGTGTCTACTCGGTCCTAACCGAACTTAATGTAGACACGGCTGTGGAGTCTGCGCTAAGAAATTTAGAATGCAGCAAAAAAAAAAAAATTAATATCTGCAGAAAGCCGGACAAACATCGATTCAATGGTTGAATTGGTACTGTCTTTTATATAGCAGAAAAGAATAGTAGAGAAGAGAAACAGGTTACAGAAAAGAAAAGTAAAAAAAAAAAAACCCAAAAAACTCATACACTGGATGAGAGAGAGAGAGAGAGAAAATATGTGATTATCTTGTTGTTAAATCGTCTCAGAACGATATGTAACTCTTGTGATGGAGGGATCTGGGATTTCTGTGCTGGGTTAGTTATAGTGGCGTTCCTCCTCCCAATGCTCGCCCGGGCCAATTCTCTCTTCAAGAATTTTCTTCCATCTTTTTCAGCATAACTACGCGTTTATATAGATAAACCCGGCTGGTTATAACTGACCCTCGACCTTACTACTTCGCACGCGATTATCACGGGGTTCTGGCTGCTTCAACCAAAATCATGTGAATTCCAAAGTTCCTTCTAGCTCTAACACCCCTTGTGAGCTCCGTACAATTTCTCCGGCGGCCGTTCTCCACGCTGTGATGTTGCCGGGGGTTGGTTGAAAAAGTCGAAGTCTCAAGCTGGGGGCACAAGATAAACCCTTGAAAGAACGAACTTCCACAACTTAGGTGAGTTTAATCAACGCTTTATTTCATTCAGACTTAGTCTTGCCGTTGGGGTAGGCGATGTGACACTCACCTCTAACTCTAACTAATGGAGATCAAATGCCGAACCGACCGACTCAGACGAACGGAGTTTCACTTCTTCAGTGTGCCTGACACGTGGCTACTTCAAGCACACGCCCGGCTGAACTGCTCGGCTCGAAAAAATCACTTGTATTTATATTGAAATTCTCGGAAGTCTTTTAGACCACCGGGTGAAAACAAAAGATAAGCATTGGCGACTGTAAGTTCAAAATTTCAAGGTACTTAAATTTTGCTTCCTTTGATGTGAAAAATCCTGTCTCCACTCGGCCTCCAACGATGTATCTTCCAGGATTTTTTTATCTTTTTATCTTAACAAATCTTCGTGTGGAGGCCGTCGGATGTTTTATAGCCCTTTTTTTTTTTTTTTAATACCTGGAGAAAGGGAAAATTCTGTTATCTTTTCTTTATTTCCTTAATGTGTTGTCGAGATACAGTAAAGACAGTTTTTGACCTGGTCATCTAAAATCTATTTCCTAAAAGTTTATCTTTTATCACATCAAATCACTTAGTCAAATATTTTATTGGAAGACTGGTAGGATTTAACAGTAATCTGATGCCCTTTTCTCTTCCACAAATTTACTTATAAAAGAAAAAAGCGTTTATTTATTTATTTTTTCCTTTTCTTTTTCCCTTAGTACTTTTGTTAAACGAAACACATGTTTTTAAACTATTTTTCTATTCTTAACCGTTTTCTATTCTTAATTTATTAAAATAAAATACATATTTTACAAATCAAGCTTAATATACGCCTAGTTATCGTGTCACATTACCTCCCCCAACGGATCTTGTCATTTATGTTAATAAATTACAACAAACACAAATAAAGTCATGACACGATGCTTCTTCAGGTCGGCACGCCATCACCACAAAAATTATTTTGATTCCACAGGGGTATTCTCCTCCCCTCAATAACCATTATGAAATTTCTTATTAATCAATTTGGCATTATTTACCATTCTTTGTATTTCCTCGATCCATTTTTTTTTTTTTTTTTTTTTTTTTTCACAACCAATTCATCAATTTTGTCTTCGTAGCCGGTGGCATCAATGAATCCACGCAGTTGGTTTATCGCTACATTTGAATGTCACTTCTTCGTTAACGAACACCTTTCCCAACTAAAAGTTTTTCTTTCCGATTTACATCCATTCCCTTTTATTTCTGGAAGAGATTCTACTCTTTGTCAATTCAACTCCTGTTACCAATTTCCGGCCCTGAAAGATAAGCCACAAATCCCTGGGCCTTCCTGCTCCCTCCTAGGAAACCTCGTCATGATGGAAGTTTGCTGAGGACGCCCCCTCCCAATGAGGTCAATGGCGCCCGACAGAATAATTGAAGCATAGTTTACCCAATAAAATCAAGAGAGGGGAGTGTGCTCACCCTCTCCCCCAAAGAAAAAAAATTAAAAAAATTAAATAACACAAATATAATAGACATAACTCTGAGCAAGTCCACTGCATAAATATAGGAGCGATGTAACTGTTCCTCATTATCAGTCTCTTTTTCAACTGTTTAAAGTTCTCCAAACCTATTCCATTTTCCTTTCTTACATTTTTTTTTTTTTAAACAGAACAACAATAAAAAAATAAATGTTTCTAAAATGTTTCTTTCTGTTTTTCTCAAAAATATTTTTTTCATCATCATCATCTCTCCTTTTTTCACAAGCACAGTTGTTTCTTCCTCTCTCCCTTCCTCTTATTTTTATTTATTTTTTTTTTTTAAGTACACACATTTTTCCTTTATGTGCATGCTCCTGGAGCACCCTGTCCATTAGAAGGAAGAGGAATATGGAATATCAGTTCTTTTCTCTTTTTTTTTTTTCATTTTTTTTTTTTAACCCTCCAATCGTACGGCCGTTAGTTGCAACCGTTCCTCTGCCTGGGTTCCTTTCTCAGGATCAGTTTCAGGGTTCTCTGTCCCTTGGGTCTCCGTGGTTTCAACAAGTAATCCACCCTTTTTGCTAGTCAGTCTTTTCGCCGGCATAATTCTTCTACATCTTTTTAACCACTGCCTTCCTCAAACTACTTGAATTATTATTAATATTATCCCCACCAAAATACATCCCCCAACTGATAACAAGGCCACAGATTTAGTAGTCCAACTCCCCTGGGGAAGAACCCCCCCCCCATCTATCGTCTCTAGTTGATCAACTAAGTCTTGTAAATCGATTCTTTCTATTTTCTCTAATAGTTGTGGAAGTTCCCTTGCAGTAAAATTCAACGATGTTCTAACGAGAGGTTTCCACAAGTCTGTCCAACGAGCCGATGAGATGTTTGAGAGAGCAAGGAAAGAATCTCTAGATTCAAATCTCTCTTCCGCTTGGTAAAAAGGCGGAAGTGTGATAGACGTGCCGAAGGCTGTGCACCCCATAGGTAAGCTTATGATGGATAGGGGCGGGGTGGCTGTAATGGTTAGTGTTGGCCTCCCTTTGCATACCTGGGACAAATCTAACTTTGTCTCCAAAGCTACCGCCCACACTCCGTCTGACAACCCTATGGCTTGTGGCATCAATTTGCTTTTTGATACCTCTATGTTGCAGGTTCGTTTAATCTCCTCTTTGTTCCCATTAAATAACCCAAGTAAACAGGTTTGATGCCCTCCATGCTTCCAAGGCCACCCATTCCACTCATGTTGCTGGTAAAGGTGTCACCCATTCCCTGATTTGAGCCAAAGTCCTTGGGTCCAAGGTTATTTGCACCCATGCCATAACCATCACCCATACCACTACTCATGTTACTACTCATTCCACCTCCATACCACCAGCTCCGCTGCCCATGTTGGTAGCTCCAGACATACCTGCCATACCAGACATGCCCATATTGCCTGGCAACATTCCACCACTCATCTTGCTTGCCATACCCGACATGCCAGTACCCATTCCAGTGTTCGTACCACCTGACATACCACCCATATTACCTCCCATACCTCCTCCCATGTTTTCCATGCCTCCCCCCATACCACTCATGCCACTATAGTTATTCATGGGGCCACCATCCATATTTCCCATACCACTCATTCCACTTCCCATGGCACCCCTGCCTCCATAGTTACTACCAGAACCTCCTCCACTTCTATCATCAAATCTACCTCCCATCGGTCCACCACCTGACATCTGATTAAAATTCTGCATTGGTTGACCACCAAGACCTAAGCCCATGCCAACTGATTTCAAACCACTGGGCAAATTAACATTTGATGTATCCACACTGGTTTTGTTCATGCGTACAACCATAGCTCTGTCAAACAAAGTCTGGCTGTTAAACATAGAGATAGCTTGTACTGCTTCCATGGGGTGTTCAAAGGTGACAATTCCCATCCCTCGGCTCTTGCCATCTTTATCTTGCTTGATTTCTGCACGTAGAACATTGCCTGCCAGTTTGAAGACATCCTTTAGTTTCTTCCATGTCACTTTATAATCAAGATTGGCTATAAATACTGTATTTGTGAGAGGACCTTCAATGCCTAGATTTTGTAGAAGCTGTGGACTGGGACCAGCACCGCCAGTACCACCACCAGCACCGCAGTTACCCATGCCACCCATGCCACCCATGCCCATGGGGCCAGGACCTGCCAAGCCAGCTACCATTGAATGTTGCTGCTGCTGATTTTTGATTTGTTGCATCATTTGTCGATCACTTTCTTTTTCCTTTCTGACAACAATTTGTCTGTATTCAACTTTGTATCTGTACATCTTTTCAATAGCTTTGCGAGCTGTTTCTTTATCTTTGAATTCCAAAAGACAAGCCCCTTTCTCGAAGTAACCTTTATCAGTTGGAGTTACTTGATATATTCCTTGCCTTAGGTTTTCTGCTGGTGACCGCCTTCCGTTACATGCAATAGCCGTGCGCGGCGGCAAAACAATGTCTTTAGTAGTAAGAACGACCACTTCTTCATTCATCGGAGCTCCGAGAGGAATCTCCTTTCCACCTAACTTTAAGAAGTTTGGATTAAAGCTGATTTGGGCCTTATTGCTCTCCAACCAGTCTCGGCCTAATATCATTGCCCTACAGATGGTTGGGGCTACATAAAATTTCTGCATAGTGGATACCCCTCCCACACTTATAGGCAGGGATATCGCACCGGTTATCCTTATTTCTCGTCCGTCTGCCTGAATTATCTTCATATCTGCAGCTTCGAGTCTCCTATTTTTTTGGTTTAATGCCTTAAAATCTTTTAACCTCAAAATTGATATGCATGCCCCCGTATCTAATAATGCCTGTACGCATTTGCCGCTCACCAGCACATCACAAGTTGCTTCAGTACCTTGGCTGAGCAACGCATAACTTCGGGCCACCCTTACATCCCTTGGGGTGGCCCTTTCGCGTTTCCCGATTATCATTCGGTTTCTTTTCTGGCACGTAAGGGCCCCTCCTGACGAGGACATTCCCTCACCAGGTGCCCCAGCCGACCACATCCCCAACATCCCGGTCTGCCAGGAACTGGGCATGACTCTGTCCAGCTCCTCTGCAGGGTATGGTTTCCCCAATGGTGATCCGTCCCACCGTACCTCCACCGTCCTCCATCGTTCTGGGGAGGTCCTACATATCTTCCATCACCTGGCCCCCGCGCCCCCACATTTGCTCCCGAGAGGTTGCCAGCCTTTCGTGCAGCCTGAGGCTCTGTTGTGCTGCATTGAATGCCTCCGTCAGAGTGGTTGGGTATGCCCTGGCTGTGTCCTCTCTCACGAACGGGTTTTCGATTGCGTCCGTGAAAAACTCAGCCAACTGCATCTGAATTACCTCGCCCTCTCGTTGAACTGCGTCCTTATACGCTATCTTAGCCAGTCCTAGAATCCTACTCATTAGTTCTGGCAGAGTTTCTCCTTCTTTCTGTCTAACCTTAATTAAAGCCCTTGCAGCATTACCTGCACTAGTACAATCACCATATTGATGAGTTAGCTGTTTCAAAAGCTCATCCCAACTGCATTCTGGATGATCCTCTAATACAGTCCTATATATTCTGATACTACTCCATCTGAGTAGTCGTAGGCCACATTAACTATCTCTGCCTGCGAAAGCTTGTGTATTCTACTCTTTTTTTTATGGCTTCAACCCAAGCCTGGAATTCGGAAGATCTACCTTTAAATACAGGTATTCTCGACACACTTGATCCGATAACATGAATCCTATCCATACTAAACTATTACAATTCTAACAAGTGGCAAAAGAAAGAGAAAAAAAAATCAAAACCAATACCAAGAATATGCCAGCGAGAATTTTGAACAGACAAAATTAGGGAGTAAAGAATTCGGCTTACCTTAAGTGAATCAGTGCTTGTTGATTACGGGTTCCCTTTTCTTTCTTTTTTTTTTTTTTTTTTTTTTTTTTTATTTTTAAAGCTTATACCAAGCAATTAGAATGTCTTTTAGTGGGTGTGACGATCAAAAGTCTAAAAGAAACTCTTCTGTCTGATGAGGTTCCTAGAGTAATTCTTCATTTGGTTGTTAGAGTGCTTCTTCCTTCAATTTCCTTTTTCCGTTCGTCTTGTTTCGTTTTCTGTCCAGGCGCGTCGGTTCGTTGAAATCCAAACTTTAGCATCCAGTGGCACTTCCGTTGGTTCCGAATCCTGGGTTACACGACACCAATTGTAACACCCCTTGTGAGCTCCGTACAATTTCTCCGGCGGCCGTTCTCCACGCTGTGATGTTGCCGGGGGTTGGTTGAAAAAGTCGAAGTCTCAAGCTGGGGGCACAAGATAAACCCTTGAAAGAACGAACTTCCACAACTTAGGTGAGTTTAATCAACGCTTTATTTCATTCAGACTTAGTCTTGCCGTTGGGGTAGGCGATGTGACACTCACCTCTAACTCTAACTAATGGAGATCAAATGCCGAACCGACCGACTCAGACGAACGGAGTTTCACTTCTTCAGTGTGCCTGACACACGTGGCTACTTCAAGCACACGCCCGGCTGAACTGCTCGGCTCGGAAAAATCACTTGTATTTATATTGAAATTCTCGGAAGTCTTTTAGACCACCGGGTGAAAACAAAAGATAAGCATTGGCGACTGTAAGTTCAAAATTTCAAGGTACTTAAATTTTGCTTCCTTTGATGTGAAAACATCCCGTCTCCACTCGGCCTCCAACGATGTATCTTCCAGGATTTTTTTTATCTTTTTATCTTAACAAATCTTCGTGTGGAGGCCGTCGGATGTTTTTATAGCCCTTTTCTTTTTTTTAATACCTGGAGAAAGGGAAAATTCTGTTATCTTTTCTTTATTTCCTTAATGTGTTGTCGAGATACAGTAAAGACAGTTTTTGACCTGGTCATCTAAAATCTATTTCCTAAAAGTTTATCTTTTATCACATCAAATCACTTAGTCAAATATTTTATTGGAAGACTGGTAGGATTTAACAGTAATCTGATGCCCTTTTCTCTTCCACAAATTTACTTATAAAAGAAAAAAGCGTTTATTTATTTATTTTTTCCTTTTCTTTTTCCCTTAGTACTTTTGTTAAACGAAACACGTTTTTAAACTATTTTTCTATTCTTAACCGTTTTCTATTCTTAATTTATTAAAATAAAATACATATTTTACAAATCAAGCTTAATATACGCCTAGTTATCGTGTCACATAGCTTACTCAGCTCTATTTCAATTTTTAATCGACAAAAATTATTTCGACCATTTCCATTGTCTCCTGATGACCCAGATCCAATGGGTAGAACTTCTGCCCTAAATCAGATTCCCCATCCGTAAAAAAGAATGCTCTGATTTGATTTCGTTATTCAAATCTACTCCAATTTCACTAAAAAAAATATATATAATGGTGTGTGTTTCCCAGACTCTCTCTCTCTCACACACACTGAAGTAATGAACATTATGGCAGTAATGTGGGGACGAACGACCAACAAGAAGTTCAATTTTTTTGTCGATAACTCCAAAAATGCTAGTTTTCTTCATAATTTAATTGTTAATTCGAGTTCAGCATGAACATTTACACGGAATTATGACGATTTGGGAAAATTTTAAGAGATATCTAGCGCGCGGGTTTTTAGGCGTTAAAAAGGAAATTTACCCGAAAGATTTGCTTCTAAGTAAATCAGTAAATTTAACGATTAATTAACTATACTTTGTAAAAATAATAATACATACTTTTTGTGTAAAACAGCGAAAATGACGTTTTTATGCACGATATCCCGTATTAATCAAGGTTAATGTCTACTGTCATCCTCACTTTATTTTTTTATTAATAGAGAATGATAAAATTTATTTTACAATAAGAAGAGTATAAAAAGAAATTAATTTAAAAAATAGTTAATAAATTAATACTTTTGACTTTTTCTACTCATTGGATTCATTTTTTATTATCTTGACTACTTCATGCCATAAAATATTTAATTGCACCCAATGAGCTTTTTACTATTATTTTTAAATTATTAAACTAAAGTGTTTAAAAACAGTGAATTATTGAATTAGTACTTTTTTTTTTAACTTCCATAAAAAAATAATCTAACAAGCAAAAGTGAAAAAATAATAAAATTCTTTAAAAAAATGTTCACACTCAAAAAGGGCATTGAAGTATTTTTGATTTTTCGATTCTTCAGACATTTTAAAAATTTTTAATAAAAATTACAGCAACAGCATGAATTTCAAAATAGCTTTAAAAGTAGGTACCCTCATGAGACTGCTAAAAAAAGAGCATAGTCTGATGAAAAAGACGCCAAACTTTACGAAAACAAAATTTCATCGTCTAAATGTTTGTTATTATTAAGAGGAAAAGTATTTTTTAATTATTTTGAAATTTTTTTCCTTTTTAGAACATTCTAAATTTTGATTAAAAAAAAAATTTGTTTCTCTTTGTATCACTTGTAAAATAACAAAAATTTTTAGCATGTTTTTTTTTTTTTGTATGACAGACATTAATTTGGAAAATCTTGCAAAAATAAAAATAATTGTCGGATGTTAATGAAACTTTCAGAAACTATTCACAAATGATGGCAATTATTATGAATCTGTTTTCTTTTTTTAAAGTCATGGAAATTTTTTTTTTTATTACCCCCTCACCTCAGCTAATTTTATGAGAACTCTAGAAATTCAATCGCATTCAGTTTAGTGATTATATTAGTTAAAAGCACAAGGCTTTGAGGAAAGCAAGTCATGTATTTTTTTAAATTGGTACCACCTGAAAATTAGCTCTGAACTGTAACATACAAAACTCAATAAAACAAAGATATTATTTAATTCCAAATGCTTTTAGCTGTTTTTATGAATATGGACAATATTTTCTGAAAGCAAAAAAATGTTTTCAATGAAAAATGAATTTTTAATACAATTATTTATTTCTTTAATTATATTAGATTTTTACAGTTGTTAAAATATAAAATTTGTTAAAAGCCGCATTCAGTTTCGTAAATGTCCTTATGAGGTAGATCTTTTTTTTTTTTAGCGCATTGTAAATTGTATAATTTCAACCAATCAGAAGACCCGTAGTAATTAAGAAATGCAATTTTGTGTTTATAATACGGCTGTAATTATAAAGTACAGAAGATCAGTAAGAATACAATTACGTTACGTTATTTGAGTTAAGCATTGCTCTCTGCTGTTAAGGCCTTTACTTTTGCGAAACACGTGTGTAAAAGTTAATTTGATTTTTCAATTTCAACTGAGAAGGGTACTGTAATGTTCTGCGCAAGAAGCTATCGATGCTTGCTAGGCGTCGATTAATGCCTTGCTAGGATTTTAGGATGGTTCTTGATTGTCCCTCCGGTGATGGTAGCCTCCTATTCCCTTTTTGCTGTGTAGCTGCTGATTAAGATTCACCGGATGTCTGGAGGGGACCTAACTCTTGTGTCTCTATGGGTTATCTCCCTTCTGTTGCTGGGATATTACAGGTACCTACAAGTATTAGTATCATCTTATGAAGTTTATATGATCTTATTCTAATATTAATTTCAGTTATGATATTTTTCCATAAATGAAATATCAAAATTAATAATAGAATGAACGGAAATACAAATAACACAGTAAAATGTAATGAAATACTATAATTTTATGTACATTTATGTACACTTCTGATAAAATTTCATAAGAAAGGTACTTATAAATTAATTAGATACCTTTCTTAAGAAGTTTAATCTCACTCTCAACAGTTTTATGTTAATTTTTTTATAATATATTTTCCATAAAGCATCGTAAATGTAACGGTAATACAGAAACAACTCGCTATCGTCAATTATAATTCTACAAGGCTGTACGAAGTTCTGAAAGATTTGCGTGAACGAGTCATTCTGCAAACCCTTCCAGTCAACAAACAGACACTTTTGATCTGTGGACCTCTCAACCTCTCAACGGTTAAACAAAATTTGACAACACTTCGTGTGTAACACTATTTGGGTTGCTGGTTAGTATTAATAATAACAACTTGGAATATCAAAAAAATGACATATTGATGGATAAACTAGCATGAAAAGGTTTAAAAATATGAACGATCGACTGATAATAACTGGTTACCAGAGAATCGAGATTTATACAACAGACCAGGTGACCGGCTGAGGGCAATGCTTGGTTTGTGCGAACAGGCCAAGTGTTGACAATCTTCGGCAAACAATGCCTTGAGAAGAATTAGGCTAAATGCCAGTTACAAATGAAATCATTTTACATAGATGTCAGGATGAAAAACAATAAACACCTGCAGAATGCTGAAATTCGGCTTACATTATCACTATAATGTAAGTTGCATAATTTTCCCCGGAAAAGTGTCTCTTGGGTCAAAAGTGAGAAAGCCAATTGTGTCAATTCACTTATTAGATTATAGCATTTGGAACCATAATTTTTTCTTTAATTAGTCT